ATGGAAAAGTGTATGTTATATGTGTATAATATATATATAGGTAAAATTACGTGTAGAATTAAATGTATGTGTATATGTATGTATTAACCTGTAGATAATTATATAATATAATATAATAACGTATCATATATGGCAAAAACTCTTTATATATATATATATCTCTATATATATATATATATGTCGTATGCTACATACACAGTGTATAGCAACATATTCAGTTGTCCTCAAGTACCCAACCAGTCATCCAGTCGCGTTTGTAGAGTATACCCCTTAGCCCCTCAGTTATATATACTCCCATCAGCTCCGCATTACACCCCCTTGACTGTATCTCCATGGTTATTCACGGTGACCCCAATTGTAACTTGGTGTGGCTTACTTTGATTCCCATTACCTAAATATATATATATATATACATAATACATATATATATATATATACATGTAGACTACTATCTAGCATACAGCCTAGTGAAACATCAACTAAACCAACCTAAATAGAAATCATCCATTTCAATAGGATTTTTCATTATAAACTAGCCATCTTAGGGGTATTCCCCATTTACTGTATGGAAACCAACCTAAATAAGACAATACCAACTGAAATCCTGACTCAAATCAATGAACTAAACCAACCTAAATAAGACAATCCCATTAAATCGAAGCTAAAATCATGATTTGATGCAATTTATACCGATGAAACACCTAACTGAGCTAAAGGTTGACAACCTGAGCTCACCTAGCACAGCGCACCTCGGGTCCATAGCCACCTGCCACGTAGAGCTTGCCGCCCAACCTGTGTGGTTTCATCATGGCTATCATCCTCCCAGGGAGGGTTAGAAACCTATCAAGCCACAAGTGAATTTGAGTTGAATATGAAGTACTCAGATCAATAACATGAACTAAGCAAGTTACCAAGTTTTGAACTTCCGAATATGGCATAATCATGTGAACAAAAAATCATATCATTAGGGATAGAACTATGAATAAACAACTAATGGATCAAAGCGGTACCAGGTACCACACCCTGATCCTGGCATGATGTAAATTAAACATCAGCAACGCAACAAATCAACGCGAATAGTTCATTAGTGTAATTAATATATAATAATATTTACAGACACAAACAAAAAACATACATCATGTAAACTCATCAATCCTCCAGAATGTTTGCTATTCACCTATATAGGGGTTTCCGAAAATAGGGTTACTCCCCACATCATCCAAGTCATGGATGACTATGACTTCGTATTGCAAGACTATGACTTCGTATTGCAACCTATGGTGACGACTGGGGATCCCCCATTTTGGAAAACCTCCATATGGTAATATGGTGATGATTATTTATGGACTATGCTATGGTTATGATAATTATGGACTATAGTTATGATAATTATGATAGTTAGGATTCATTATGGATCATACCACACCTAAAAAAAACTAAGCTAACCATAACTAACCATAGCTAAATATTATGGATCATACCTTTAGCCAGCTTTCCTCCGTCTTTCAGATGTCTCCCCGAGTCCAAGCGGCGCTGTCATGGTGTGCGCCGCGCGTGGCGTCAGCAAAGGGGGCACCTTCTGCCACCTGAGAAGCGGCGTGCAGCAACGCAGGCGGGTCCGGGAAATGTTTCAAGATCTTCAAGGGAAAATCACAGAAAACAATGGGAAAATCATGGGAAAACATGGGAAATCGTCTGAACATTTTAGGGAAAATCTGTGAAAATCGTATGAAAACTTAAGGGAACATCTATGAACATCTATGAAAAAGTAAGAGAAAATTGAAAGGAAACATCCAAATTCCACAAAATTTAAAGAACTCCATTGAATTCATGGGACAGTCAAACAAATGGAAAAATTGTATCTGATTAAAATTTGATACAATATACAATAAAGGTGTTGATGGAACATCTTGAAAAAAACAATCATTGGGGAAATTTCAGAGACACAAATGGTGGACTCCTCCTCCACAGCAAAGGTTCCGTTAAAACAATCATTCATGATTCATCCATTGTTTGTTGCAAAGTAGTGTATCTAACCTAACAAAGCGGGATGTAACCAAATTGAGGGTATTCATAGAAGCCAAAGTCATGAGGATGAAACCATATGTTTTTGACCAAACAACCGGTAGGATGTATCAATGCAAAAATCACATCTATAAATCTATAAATGTTTATTATCGCCAAAGTCTTGCAAGCATGCTGTCCATAGAAAAAACTATATACTATTCCATTGCATGATCTAATTCGGAATTCGGAACACTGATGGATGGATCCTCAAACATACCCTCTGGCCATCAAAAATGGAAAGACCCCCATTCAGTTCGATGATTTTCACATTGTCCCTCCTTGAATGCACATTTTCATTCCAAGATTTCCCAGCTAGTGATGGTAAAAGGATCACTTTGGAGCACAGTCAAAAGCATCACTTTGGAACACAGCCATTTTGGCATAGCTTTGGAACACAGAAAACTACATCACATCAGACCACAGCCCAAAAAAAAAAAACAGACATCAAAATTACTGACGGGCGCAGCACTTTGGAAGCCTCCCGCGTTCCAAAGCGATGCCTCTACCAAAAAATGCCCCAATGAGAAATGCAGTCTTTAGGTTGATGTCACCAAGTGCCACGCCTGCCACACAAAATGAACGTCGATGTCACCAAGTGCCACCAACCCCTGCCACACAAACTGTACGTTGCCAATCCTGACAGTAGCAATGGTTCTACCTTTTAAGCTTTGGGGGGGGGGGTGTGGGGGTTGGGTTAGGGTTCACGACTCTTCACGGTTCAGGGTGTTAAAATGTTTCTAATCATGTGCCAATCCTGAAAATGCCAAAAGGTTCTACCTTTAAGCTTTTGGGGGGTGGGGGGTGGTTTAGGGTTCACATCATGTGCCAAAACTGACAGTAACAATGGTTCTACCTTTTAGGGTTTTGGGGGGGTCGGGGGGGTTAGGGTACACGACTGTTGATGGCTCAGTGTGTAAGAATGGTTCTTATCATGTGCCAATCCAGATGATGATGAAGAAAATGATGTTCAGAATCATGGTGGTGGTGATGATGATACTGAAAAAATGTGTGGTTGTTGGTGGTGGTGATGATAATGATGGTCATAATGATGGTCATGGTCATGATGACCATGATGATTATGATGGTGACAAGGAAGAAGAAGAACACAACAATAACAATATTAATTATGATAAAAAATGATCAGGATCAAAGTGGTGATGATGCTGATGATGACGATGACGATGACGACGACGATGATGATGATGATGATGATGATGATGGTGATGATGATGAATATAATGATGTTGAAAATGGTGATGGTGATGATGATGATGATGGTGATGATGGTGGTGGTGGTGATGATGATGATGGCGATGATGATGATGATGGTGATGATGATGATGATGATGATGGTGATGGTGATGATGATGGTGATGGTGATGATGGTGATGATGATGATGATGATGGTGATGATGGTGATGATGATGATGGTGATGATGACGATGATGATGATGGTGATGATAATTATGATTATGACTTTGAACATGGTGATGATGTTGATGATGGTGATGATGATGATGATGGTGATGATGATGATGATGGTGATGATGATGATGCTGATGATGATGATGGTGATGATGATGATGATTATAATTATGATGTAGAACATGGTGATGATGATGATGATGATGATGGTGATGATGATTATGGTGATGATGATGGTAATGATGCTCAGGATCATGGTGGTGATGATGTTGATTATGATGCTGACGATGACGATGACAATGATGATGATGATGATTATGATGATGATGGTGATGGTGATGATGGTGATGGTGGTGATGATGATGATGATGATGATAATGATGATCAGGATCATGGTGGTGACGACGACGACGACGACGACGACGATGATGATGATGGTGAGGATGATGATGATGATGATGATGATGATGATGATGATGATGATGATGATGATGATGATGTTATATGTGTAATGTCAAGTGAGGATTAATAAACCCCTCCCGATTAATCAACCACCATTGCCCAAAAAAAATGTAATTTAAAAACAGGTGGTCCCCCCAGATTAATAAACCGGTGGGCCTACCCCCGATTAATCAACCACCAGTGCTGAAATCCATTTTTTTATCCAACATTTTTTTATTTCCAAATCTATGTATTTCCAATTGTTTTTTTTACCTGTTTTTATCATCATTGTTATACTTCAGGTTTAAGTTGATCATTGAAAATTTCAAAAAACAACTATTCCCCAAATGATCGATTTCTAATTAAAATCTTTATAAAAATCAACAGTTTGGATAGCTCCCAAAGGGTACCCCCCATGAGCCCATGTCCCCCATTAATAGTTTGCCCCTGATTAATCAACCACCTTTCTGATCCATGAAATTTTAACAAATCCAATGGAATTCTATTAAGATCTAATTGACGTAAGCCATATCCAAAGTTTTCTGGTTCAGAGTTGCTTATTATTAAGGGATGGTCAAGAAAACCAGTCAGAAGGTACCCCCCTACCTTCTGGGGGGGAGGTTATTAATCTGGTGTTGGCATTATATATATATATATATGGTTGTGGATGGTGATGAACATCATGATGAAAAGGCGTGTTCCAAAGCGATGCGATGACCCAGGGCCAGCCCCGGGACCCCGGAGGGCCCAGACGAAAGCATCCCAAAGACCAGGCATTCCACGGAAGCCAACACCTGCGATGCTGCGTGGTTCCCAGTGGTTCCCCATCCCTCTGAGACAATTTGAATATCCTGGTCCAATCAATAATCAAAGATTGTGGTGATTCAAAAATATCCAACATAAATTGAAAAATAAAACAAATCCAATCAAAGCATGACATGGCAAATCAAATCCAATCCATGATGAAAACTTGAGGCCAACGATTGTCGATCATCATTTGTTCGAGGAGTTGAGCGGTCCAAGTCTGGAGAACCTTTGCAGTTGGGGGACTCCTTCAGGTTAGTCTTAACCAGAAACACTTCTTGGGATGAACATCCAAGTAATATCTCATTCCACGAGTAATATACTACCCTCTGGTAATTTAACATAGCTATTGAAAATGACCATTTATAGTGGATTTTCCCATTAAAAATAATGATTTTCAATAGTTATGTTAAATTATTCATCATTAGCCCCAACCCCTGTATGGGAATCTGAAATTGGCCCAGATCTTGCACCAGGGTTTCTGGCGTAGGGTGTTGATGTCAAGCTACTTCCCATGGGCTCATGTCCCTCTCCATTCCATCCCACAAAATGACCCCTGGTGAACTGTTGTATGCATAGATTTACAAGATTTTACAAGTAACATCAAGTAACTAGGGAGGAAAATTACATGCACAATGCACGTGCATAAAACTAAACACGCAACTTCCATAGAAAATCCTATGGATCCAAGCACCTCATGTGTCTTCGCTCAAGTCATTGGAACCATCTTCAAAGCCGATTCGATCCATTCGGTATCACACCCTTTCATCATTACAAAAGCCTTGAAAGGTTAGTTTATGTTAGTTTATCTAAACCAGTAATGCAATCAGTGTATTACTGAAACAAAGTTTGAATCTTTCACGACAAAATCCACAGTGTTGGTATGATCTACTAACCCATTAACTAACGACATTGCAAATCTTAAACCTTGCATTTTTTTCTAGGTGAATATTATCACACATTCAAATAACGGAAAACAAATAGAACTTTGACCTACTAGTATAGTATATCCCCATTTGTGGTAAACAACCATTGCATCACCAACATCCTATACCCCCACTGAGAGCAACCCCTACAAAGATATTTATTTACTCAAATAAATGCCACTCTTCTATCTTTGTCGGGGGTTATTATAAAGCAAACATGCTGTGGATGGAAGAAATTCCGCATCAGTTGGTAGATGATGTGTCCCATTCTACTCCAATTATTTCCAATGTTTCACATGTCCCAATCGTTACCAGGCTACCAGCTGTTGCAGGATTTCGCAACCATCCACAGTAGGTTTACCCACGTTTATCCAGCTGCAGCTGATCCCCGGCCACATCCCACCTCCTCCCCATAGCCGCCAGCCACGAAGGCCACATCTTGGCTGCACGCTGCCGCCGCTGCCCAGCGCACCTGACGCATCCTGGCTGATGTCAATAGTCAGTCAGGTTGGAGCAACCCATGCGAATCCCATTTGTTGGCACGTTTGGGCAAAACGGTTGCAACTCTTGCCATTCAGTGACAGTAGTTTGACAGTCATTTGTCACTCAACCAAAACAACATCTTGAAAACGACTTCTACGACTGGAACGAATCAAAACTTAGCTTTGGCCGTCTTCAGTGTGCACACTTCCAGAGTCTATACTTATTGGTTCGTCTTCAACCTCAAGATGTATCGACAACAATTGCAACAGTACATGAAAATACTTCGTCCAGGGTTGGAGTCGTTGGTTCAGAAGAACTGAAAAATCGACACGGAAACTGACCAGTGGTTCACCAGTTTCATATGGAATCACTGAGCCTTCATCCTGACTAGCGGTTTGCCACCCATTCCAAACGATATCAGCTACAGTATGCATGTATATAGTATAATTGTCATCAACATCCCAATTGCAACTTGCAGGATCTTGTTTTTTCACTGCGAAGCTACAGAAATATCAGAAATACATCAAAGTGCACTCATAAAACCATACGGCAGTGTGTCAAAACCAATAGTACCCCTTCTGTTCACATCAAAATCGCTGGGATTTATGGATGTTCATCCCACTAAAAATGGTATTTTCATAGGTATTGATCCATACCCATATAAAACCTAACAAGTACTGCTATATCCCATGTTTGCTGGCTATGTTCCCATCATTGGATCCCCCTGAAACCGTTAAATCCGAGGGACGGCGGCAGTTGGATCCAGCTCTTCATTTGCCTTGGGATCTACGTGGGCGGTTCGATCTATGTTAGTTGGTTGGATGGGGTTGCAGCTAGGGCTTGTTTGGAATCAGTTGTTTTTTTTTTTTACGTAAAATATGTGTATATATATATATATAGTATATATATATAGTATGTATATATGTGTGAAATTCCTAGTTGTGGGTTCTTATTCTTAACCCTAGGACCTAGACTTCCAAACACTTCTGGAGGTGATTTGGTGTATTGGTAGGTCTTGGCGGCTCTTGGGGTTCCAAAACCTACCCGGAACTGTGGATGCAAAGCTCAGTAAACCGCAGGAAGCCGCCATGATCAGTTTTGTAGGACCTGATCTAAGGGTTCTTCAAGTTCTATAAGAACAGAACTTGGAGATGCATATAATATCGTCAAATAATATGATAAGATAAGATAGTGATATGATTCATCCCAAGCGGCAAAGATGTGTGTCAAAGCCATGATGCAGTATGGTGGGAAGCATCACACAATCATCAAATTACGGAAACATGGAGACATTCACCTATCTCCAGCGAGTAAAGCTTCTAATTCTTACAGTCCTTGGAAATATCTTCGATTTTTTTTACCAGAAATGGATGGTTTAATGGAGACAATATCAACAAATATATTGATAGCACCAAGAAAACATCCAACTAACGGCTGCGATTAACACTTGTCACTTTCAACTCACTACACAAATAAATTCAACTTGACAGGAACATGGAAAAATAACATAATGCCCACAGATTTTGGTCCATGTTTAATATAGTAAACTATCTTAAATTTTGGGGCCCATTTTTGGGGCTCCCAATTTTGACTCATAGCCATATTTTTGTGGTACCATTTTTCAATACCTCCACTATATATATATATCCGATTATATCCCCTTCATACCGAAACTAAAACAAACATAACATATTCATTGGTTAACAATGCTTAAATTCCCAGTTTTAGTCGATCAACCATCCAGTTTTTGTAGTATAGTAACATGAAAAAAGATAGAAAAGTAAGATCCTACTTAAAAAAAAGTGACCGAAACAAGAAAAATCCTACTAAGTACTAAAATAGCAACTGGTTGGTGATTGAGCCATCCCTCTGAAAAACATGAGTTCGTCAGTTGGGATGATGACATTCCCAATAATGTCAAGTGAGGATTAATAAACCCTCCCGATTAATCAACCACCACTGCCCCCCCAAAAAAATGCAATTAAAAAACAGGTGGTCCCCCCTGATTAATAAACCGTTTGGCCTACCCCCGATTAATCAACCACCAGTGCTGAAATCTGTTTTTTTATCCAACAATTTTTATTTCCAATTCTATTTATTTCCAATTGTTTTTACTTTTTTTTTATCATCATTGTTATACTTAAGGTTTAAGTTGATCATTGAAAATTTCAAAAAACAACTATTCCCCAAATGATCGATTTCTAATTAAAATCGTTATAAAAATCATCAGTTTGGATAGCTCCCAAAGGGTACCCCCCATGAGCCCATGTCCCCCATTAATAATAACCACGGTTTGCCCCTGATTAATCAACCACCTTTCTGATCCATGAGATTTTACCCAATGGAATTCTATTAAGATCTAATTGGCGTAAGCCATATCCAAAGTTTTATGGTTCAGAGTTGCTTATTATTAAGGGGTGGTCAAGAAAACTAGCCAGAAGGTACCTACCTACCTACTTACCTGGTGGGGGGGGGGTTATTAATCCGGTGTTGGCATTAATGTTGACCTACGATTTATCAAATTACCCTGAATAGTGCTAAATTTTCTCCCAAACTAAATAATAAAACTACCCTGAATAGTGCTAAATTTTTTTGGCCCTAAACCCAGATTTGCCCAGATGGGGCTGACCAAAACCTTTATTCAAAAATGATAGCTGGAAATTGTCAAAAATGATGGATGCTCTTTCTATTCAAAACCTGTACTTAAACTTATCCAAAATCAACTCCAAATCAACTCATCAAGGGTACCCCCCATGAGGTGCCTTAGCACCAATTAGAGTTTGACCCTGAATAAAGCTAATTTTTTTTGGCCCTAAACCCAGATTTGCCCAGATGGGGCTGATTTTGTTTTTTCCATGCTTTATTTGACGTGGCTTTCATGTACTAATTCATACTGCCAGCTCATTAGATCTTACCTTGATAGCTTCAAAATTTCAAACATAATGAATGTTCTTTCTATTCAAATCCTTTATATAAACCTATTTAAAATCAATCCCAAATCAACTCATCAAGGGTACCCCCCATGAGGTGCCTTAGCACTAATTAGAGTTTGACCCTGAATAAAGCTAATTTGTTTTGGCCCTAAACCCAGATTTGCCCAGATCCATGACATGAATACTAAATCAATACTAAATCCATGACATGAATACGAGATCAATACTAAATCCATGACATGAATACGAGATCAATACTAAATCCATGACATGAGTACTAGATCAATACTAAATCCATGACATGAATATTAAATCAATACTAAATCCATGACATGAGTACTAGATCAATACTAAATCCATGACATGAATACTAGATCAATACTAAATCCATGACATGAATACTAAATCAATACTAAATCCATGACATGAATACTAAATCAATACTAAATCCATGACATGAGTACTAGATCAATACTAAATCCATGGCATGAGTACTAGATCAATACTAAGTCCATGACATGAGTACTAGATCAATACTAAAACAATTGCTGGATTCCTTTTTTTTTTAAAACTGCATTTTATGTATTCGTTTTCAATTGTGGAATACTAAATCCTTTACATACAAACAAGTTTTATGGTAGCTTTAAGTCTATTTAGGGTCAGAGAGGGGGGGGGGGCCCCCTATTTATAAATCAGAGGTGGACATTATATGGAAAGTCATAAAAGCCATGTTCCAAACCACCAACCAGGTAAAAATCCTACGAAAATCCTACTTTTTTGAGCGGAATCCTAATGGCATCTAATGGCCACGTGTTTTGTTCCCCGGCCGTCCGACGCATTCCGAGCTGAACGAGCTGCGGCTGTGAAAACTCCACCGCCTCTGTCGTGGCATTCTGCGTATCCTGAAAAGCTGACGTGCTGAAGTGGTATACATTGGTATATCTATAAATATATACGATATCATGCTATATGTCATTATATTATACCATATTATGTTATATTATAATATGTTATGTTATATTATAATTTGTTATGTTATATTATATTATAATATATTATATTATATTATAATATATTATATTATATTATATTATGTTATATTATATTATGTTATGTTATATTATATTATGTTTTATTATATTATAATATATTATATTTTATTATATTTTATTATATTACATCATAAAATTATATTATATCAAAATAAAATATTCTATAATATTATATTACACCATAAAAATATATCATATCATAATATTATATATATATTATCATAATATTATATTATATTAAATCATAATATTATATTAAATTATATCATAATATTCTATTCTATCACATTAAATCAAATATATATTAAATATTTATTATATTATATCATAAGAATAATATATATATATATGTTATAACCCCTTCCCCCTATTACTAACCCCCCCTCCGAATAATAAAAAAATAGGGTCCATCTCCAATTTTGGAGAATTTCAGGTTGGCCAATTTGACTTTTAACTGATCCCCTTTAGAGAACAATTCAAAAATAAAGCTACTATTTGTGGGTTTCACCCCTAACAATAAAAACTAGTCAACCCCGGTGTGTTTTTTACTAGGGTCCGTCCAAAAATTGAAGTTGTTTATATTAGGGTGTTTAATTTAAAATTGGGGGAAGCTTCGAAATCCAATTTTTGGCACTATTTTACGTGGGTTGTAAAAGGAAACTGAATTGATTTTGAATTCGTTTTTTTTTTAATTAAGGGTCTTAATTTATTATTAGGGTCCGCTTTGGTTCCCCAATAATAAATATTCCCCTAATAATAAAACTACCTGAGGTGTTTATTATTTTGGGGGCCGTGTTTAGCATATATATATATGTGGTATATCTAATGTATATATATATGATATATGTGGTATATCTGATATATATATATATTTATATATATATATCATTATATATACATATATATGTATATACATATATATATATACATATATGTATATATATATTGATATAATATATATATTTATATATATACATATATATACATATATATATATATATACATATCTATATTATATCAATATATATATATACATATATAGATATATACATATATATATATATATTATATCAATATATATATATACAAATATATGTAAATATAATTATGTGAATATCTATATATGAATATCAATCATCTGTTTTTTTTAATGTTGGGGACCCCTTGAACATTCCTTCTGTTCATCTTGGACATGTTCCCCCTGGATGAATATCCAGGCACCTCGCCGCCAGCCACGAAAACCCCTCCCCAGGCGCCGGTCGCCTCACCGGCGCAAAAAGGGGCCGTTGAAAATGGGGTGCTACCCTACAAAGCCCAAGGCTTTCCTGTTGATTCTCCGTTTTTCAGCATTTATACCATTTATACCATTTATAGCCTCTGGTAAGTTAAGATTGATCCTGCCAGGGCTTGGAAGATTTTCCATTAAAAATGGGCGATGTTCAGGTCTATGTTTATTTCCCAGATATATACGTTGATGTAATTGAATGTATCTAGATCGTAAATCAAGTAGTGATTTTTGAAATAACCCCAAGACCTTCATTGAATTGGTTCTAGCATGGAGACTGTGAGACTGTGACGTAAGATTGTCTAATAATGCTCAAAGACTGTCCGCCACACTTCAGCCGATCAACACAATCTCGCGTCGGCCAAAAAGGTCTGGTTTCTGTATTTGAGCATTTTTGAGGAACACAGCATGCTTAAATAGTAAGATATTGATAGAAAGATATTGATAGTATGCTTAAATAAATATTGCAACCGAACAACGTGCTGCACCAAGAAAGGCTACCTCCCATGGCAACCTGGGGAAATATCCCCTGGAAACGGAAAGAAAGCTCAACCTGAATGAAGACAAAATGGGGTAGCCCTTTGTAAACCAAATGATTAACAACACACCTACAATTCAATAATTTAATATATTGATTCAATGTGTTCAATATTTAGAGTACTACCACTGTAATATATACATTGTACGTCATTATTATAAAGCTTTATATTCTGCAGGTAACCAAACCACATATGGTGATGACTGGGGGATGGTTTATCATCATCCGTGGCTGAAATGACGAGGCCCCGCGCACAAACCCAGCCGCTGCAGCGCTGCAGCGGTGGAGCCTGGAAGGCGGCCCTTTGAAGAGAATGACCTTACAAGGTGCCCCCCTAAATAGCTGGAGGTTGGTTCATAACTCCAGGATACATGTATGTATGCAATATATACATATGAGGGTGTGTGTATATATAATATAAATATATATAGATAGATATAGATATAGATACTCAATTTATAATCACATATCAAGCCAGTTCATGGGGTTTGTAGACTGACTTCAAACTTGGGAGATCTTGGGAGGGCCACCTAGTTTTGGATCGAAGGATTTTCATGGATGTTCATCATCAACCACAGTAGGGGAAAATACATGTGTGGCAATCTAAGCCTCAACGGAAAAACATAAGCTATACACGACACCCTATGACCCTGTTTGACAAAGAAAGGATACATGATCAACAATGGTAACCATCTTGGTAGCTAGAACAAGATCCATGTAAGTTGGCGATGCAACCATGGCGATATCATTGATCATCACACACCAGCAAGAAGTTCAGGAGAAAGAACCAGCAGCAACAAGGCAACGGGCCAAGTCATTGGGTGTCCATGTTTTGGATTCAGTCTTGTCATACCAATGTGACAAATCTTTGCAGGAGTAAACATCTGGTCAATGAGACTTAATTGCTGACCCGTGCCAATTTCTAGCCAATTTAGTACTTTTCTGTAGTAGCTTCAATATCAATGGCCTCTCAATCTAAAGGTGAGTAACGTGATCCTTACCTTGGATGGTTTTTGAATGTTTATAATGCCCTTATGGTTTATGAGTGTTTTTAGATGGTTTATAGATGGTTTATAGATGGTTTATAGATGGTTTATAGATGGTTTATAGATGGTTTATAGATGGTTTATAGATGGTTTATAGATAGTTTATAGATGGTTTATAGATGGCTTATAGATGGTTTATAGATTGTTTATAGATGGTTTATAGATTGTTTATAGATGGTTTATAGATGGTTTATAGATGGTTTATAGATGGTTTATAGATGGTTTATAGGTATATATAGATGGTTTATATATTGTTTATAGATTGTTTATAGATGGTTTACAGATGGTTTATACATGGTTTATAGATGGTTTATAGATGGTTTATAGATTGTTTATAGATGGTTTATAGATGGTTTGTAGGTATATATATATAGATGGTTTATAGATTGTTTATAGATGGTTTAATAATCCTTATTTTGTCCGCATGATTGGTGACCCGGTCACCCCAAAGGGGGACTGCCACCGATGCCATCGCTGGGATCCCTGGGATCCCAGCTGGCAGCCATAGATCTCGGGCGGGGTAGTAGCACTCAACCTGGAGCTCCATGTCAGTTCCGCGCAGCCATGCGGTGAAAGCTTGATATGGAGGTTTCCATGGTCATGGGGGTACCCAAGAGCTGGATGGTTTATTTCATGGAAAATCAATCTAGAAATGGATGATTTAGGGGTACCCCCATGTATGGAAACCCCTGTAACTGAAATATACCCTCTGGTAAACATACAAAAAGCGATGGAAAATTACCATGCTATTAAATTATATAATGGGGGAATCAACGATTTCTATGGCCATTTTCAATAGCGAACTGTTATAAATTACCAGAGGGTATCTGAAATATAAATACAAAGCCGTGAACATTTGTATAAGTAGAGGGATCGAACACAACGCAGGGATCGAACAATTGCATCAACTGTGGCTTCAATCATATTTACCCTCTCGTAAACTAACATAACTATGGAGAATCACAATTTTTCATGGGAAATTTCACTATAAATGGTGATTTTCAATAGCTATGTAAACGTTTACCAGAGGGTACCAAGTTTGTATCATGGGTAGCATCATTTCACATGACCAAATCACGGACATAAAGGATCTGGGCCGAAACCTGAAAAACCCAACCGTTGTGCTGCCGAAGAAAAATGGTGGTTTGATCATGCCTACTTGTTGTTGATGACATCCCCAACTTCTTGCTTGAAACTCCATCTTTGCTCAATCCCAGTTGATCATTTTTTTTCCTAGTTCAAAGCGATGGAAATCCCGTTTCGCGAGTGTTTCTTTGACTCAAGCAAAGGATAGGAATCGGAACTGGAAACCATTGTCTTGAGCTCCACATTTGATTGGGATGTCCGGCTTTGATTTCTCCTTCTATAAACCAATTTCAATAGGGCAACCCCATAGAATCATCGATGAACCATCATTTATCAATTAGGTTCAAATATTGTTGAAGATAAACCTCCACAAATGATTCCCAATTGAATCCAATCAAATACCATCAATATCACATTAAACCCCATTAACATCTCATTAGTATCCCAGTCAACTCCTGTCAATATCACATTAAATCCTATTAAATCCCATTTAAATCACAATTGAATCCCAGTAAATCAGAATTAAATCCCACCAAAATCCCATTTGTTCACTGGGGTCTAGCAGCCACTCATCTCTTTTGTTCACCTCCATCCTCCATCGCCCGGGCTGGTCCCTAAGGATCCCTGACGCTACGCAAGGGTCCATCGCTTCCGCGGCCTTGCATTGTATTATTCATATATCTTTTAGAAAACATATCTATCTAATCAAATCTGACCTGATCTGATCCAATCTAATCTGATCTAATCTAATCTGATCTGATCTAATCTAATCTAATCTAGTCTGATCTGATCTAATCTAATCTGATCTAATCTAATCTAACCTGATCTGAGCCGATCTGATCTGATCTGATCTGATCTATCTGTCTATCTATCTATCTATCTAGCTAGCTATCTATCTATCTAGCTAGCTAGCTAGCTCCATCTATCTATCTATCTATCGATCTATCTATCGATCTATCTATCTATCTATATATCTATCTCTATCTCTATCCCTATCCCTATCCCTATATCTATCTATCTCTCTCTATCTCTATCTCTATCTCTATCTCTATCTCTATCTATCTATCTATCTCTCTATCTCTATCTCTATCTCTATCTGTATATCTATCTATCTATCTATCTATCTGTCTATCTATCTATCTATCTATCTTTATCTCTATCTCTATCTCTATATCTATCTCTATCTCTATCTATCTATCTGTCTATCTATCTACCTATCTATCTATCCATCTATCTATCTATCGATCTATCTATCTATCTATCTCGAGCTCTATCTCTATCTCTACATCTATCTCTATCTCTATCTCTATCTATCGATCTCTATATCTATCTCTATCTCTATACCTATCTCTATCTATATCTCTCTCTATCTATCGATCTATCTATCTATCTATACTTATCTTATCTTATCTTATCTATCTATCTATCTATCTATCTATCTTATCTATCTATTTATCTATCTACCTATCTATCTATCTATCTATCTATCTATCTGTCTATATTATGCCATATAAATATATATATATATATATTTATTTACGTAAAAATGGTGTCTCTCTCTCTATATATATACAATTACATATGTAATCATGTGTATATGATTGATTCAGAATAGGGTGCCCCATTCTATCCCATACTTTATTCCATGTTTCCCTGTTCAAACAACAATTTCCCGCATATCTCCCATTTTCTCGCAAACCCACATCATATTGTTGGTGAAGTACGCCAGTACATCCCATCAAATACCAAACATTATTGTACGCATAATATCCCCGTTGCTTGTTGGCAAAATCAACCTTTTCTGGTTACCCTGAGATAAAGTTACATAATCATACACATATATACATCTATATGCACCAGGCCCTGCCACCACCCCCCTCCCCCCGACAATGGGATGGGTCCCAGATACTGCCCATATGAGATCTTCCCCCTCCCCCCCTGTGGTGTGGTGGGAGTGTTTTGTGTGGTATGGTATGTTGGGTATGTATGGTGTGTATGGTGTGTATGGTGTGTATGGTCGGTCTGGTATGGCATGTTTGGAAAGTATGGTATGTTTGGTATGTATGGTAAGTATTCTATGTATGGCATGAATGGTTGTTATTGTATGGATGGGAAGTATGGCATGTAAGTCTGTTGGGTATGGTATGTTTGATATGACAGTATGTATGGTATGTATGGTTAGTATGGTTACTACGATGGGTATGGAATGTTTCCTATGTAAGGTAGGTATGGTATGTATGGCATGTATGTTTGGTATTGTATGTATGGTAGGTGTGGTAATTATGTTTCATATGTATGGTATGTGTGGTATGTATGATAGGTATGATAGGTATGGTACGCATGGCATCACTGGAATGTATGGTAGGTACGGCATATGTTCAACACATGTAGTGTTGTGAGAGTACACAGGTAGTAAATAGGAAGTAGATACATAGCACATGTATATATGACTATAGGTGGCACGTAGGTACTTTGAGGGAGTATGTGTGCTACGTAGGTCGCCTAAAAGGTAGCATGTACCTAGTAAATGCGAGGCTGGTAGTCAGAAATGCTGCAAAGACCTAGCAAGACGAGGCTGGACCTCAGAAATGCTGCCAATAGCTTGCAAATAGAAGGGAAACGGGGTACTACCTGGGGACCCAACCCATTGGGGGGGTGGGTGGAGAGACGGAGGACGGGACCATATATATATATACACATAGAATGACATAGATATAAAAAATCGAGCTGGATTCTGTCCAGTAAAACGACCTACTTTTCAATGTTGTTTTTTTGTGGGTATCACCACCACTCCACCACTGGTGCTTCGTCGACTCCTTCACCGGCCTGCGATGGCATAAATCGCTTCCCCACAGGCCACGGCAGAACAAACCTCGGGCCACGGAAATCCCCGTGGCATAGCCACGGAGGTTCAACCGCTGAAAATCATCGTACATCATCATCCCTGGAAGATTTTCGAGCCATGTTTGCCACCGGAGGGTCAGCAAATGATGTGAGGCTGGATGGGGTTTATGAGATGCTGTGCAAAAACATGCTGGCTCTGACTTTGTTAAAGCTAAAGACCTGAATCTCTTTGAGGTAAAAGCAGATCAGAGCACTACATGGAGAATTAAACCTCCATGGCTTAGGTTTCAGTGTATCCTTTGAACCATGTGTCGAAACGATTCGAAACATGTGACAATCACCGTCACAGAAACACTGATAGCAATCCCCAAAAAAGGAGAACAGCAAAGTCATCCTTAAACACTGACAGTTTATTACTGTCCTGTTCGGGTCTCCATATAAACTGAAATTCAAAGTTCAGGCTCACGTGTCATTTGTTTCTGCCTAGCATGCCTAACGTTGGCTATCTTGGCAAACAAACAGGATTTGCATTTGCCATGACTTGGGGTATGCCCCTTCTTTTTTTGACCG